CTGCCCCAATCCCAAAAGAGATGATATTTCCCCCGGCAGTTATCCTTTCACTCTTACAGGCCTGCTTCACATCGTTTATTCAGGATCTAACCCAAGACGAATCCCAGCCTGCCTCCTTTATGTGGATAACATCCGTGAGTGGGTGACTGAGCTAGCCTGGCAGGGCGTCCTATGTGATTACACCCCCTATGAATTTGCCCTCTACTCCTTTTTTCTATTGTGTTCTCTCAGTTCCCCCACCCTCACATTTTTCCTCCTGTTTTTGCAGCTCTCGCCTTTAACACAGGTATCTGCTTCGCCAAGCACACGGTGCATTTCCCAGGTCAGAATCTTTGGGTTGGGATGGACGATCGGTGCACAGGCACTGGCTAGACTTGGGCTTGGGACTGTCCAAACTAGTTTCACAGCTATTACACATCTTCTGGCTCCCTGGTACGATAGGTCCACAGCCACATCATGTTCCCACGAGAAAAGGAACTACTGAATGGTTGTTTCCAAGTGGGATTCTGCTGGAGCCCAGTGCCCTCCAAGAGGCAAATACGTATGCTTCACTAAAACCACACACCTAGGTTATAGCAATGGGGGAGGGCTTCAGGACGAAACACACCAAAAACAAATTAAACAAGTCATTGAAAGTCTTACTCCCACCCAGCCAAGCTGATGTCCTCTCCGCTCCCTCGACCCCAATATCCATCCCAAATAGACCCCAAAGTTATATAGCTCCTCAATGCCACCCACCATTTGCTTAATTATAGATCCCCCTCATTAGCAGGGGGGGTGTTGGCTCTGCCTGCGATTGACCCTTCCCCAATACTAGGCTACACCCCTATCTAACTTCAATCTGTCTAACTGGCCTACAGACAATCATACCTCAGTCCTCTTGGGAATGGTGGCCACCCACATCACTTTAACTCAGCTGGTAGGGTATTGTCTAACAAATCTTACTGGCAATAAAGAAGTGGGCAATCTCACAGTAAAAGATTGCAACCAGACCATTCCAAGGGACAACACAAACATCACCTATAGCTCCTGGAAGGGGGTCTACTTTGTTTGTGGGCCATTTTCATACCAATACCTTCCACAGAACTGGATGGGAACTTGTGCCTTAGCAATTTTAACACCCCAAATTAACACTGTCCCTGGCAAACAAATTTTAGAGATCCCTCTGATGGCTCATACTCAGGTGAAACGAGCTATTCAGGTTATTCTCCTGCTCCTCGGGCTCGGCATAGCAGCAGGAGTGGGAACAGGAGTGGGAGGCATAGCTACCACAACAACTTACTATCATAAAGTAACCCAAGAGCTGGCTGATGGAATTGAGCAGGTAGCCCAAACTGTGATAGCCCTCCAAGACCAATTAGATTCCCTAGAAGAAGTTGTCTTAACGGAACAGGCGAGGAGTAGACCTGTTAACAGCAGAAAAGGGAGGTCTCTATTCTTAGGAGAAGAATGCTGTTTTTATACCAATAAATCTGGCATTTTTAGAAATATAGCCCCAAAACTCCATGACCAAATGGCCAAAAGGAGGCAAGCTACCACCAACTCTTGGGAAAGGTGGAGCAAGCTATGGAAATGGACCCCTTAGCTGATGTCCCTACTGGGACCCCTTACCATGCTGGGACTTCTCCTGCTATTTGGCCCTCGTCTTTTCTGGTGTTTTTCCAATTTTTTGCAAGATCATATGCAGGCTTTGGCCAACCAAAAGGTAACCAAACTGTTCATGGAACATAAATGTCAACCTCTCCTTTTAGAATATCTCACCCTATGACAGGATGACGGCATTTTTGTATGGCCAGATTTTTCCTCCTCACCCACTTTCAGCAGGAAGTAGCTTCAGAAGAATGAGACCTTTGCCCCTTTTCCCCTTTTCTTATACTTAAAAGGCAGGAATGATAGATCTTGCACGTGGCCAGCACCACCTTGGACACAGCTGCCTCACCTTGGATGCAACTGACATCATCACAGATGCAATTGGTGCCATATTTAGTACAAAATGGCCGCCAGTCTTTCACCCTACCTGTGGTTTTCTTGAACAAAGAAACCCTTCCACTCCAGCCTAGAGGTCTGGAGGTACCTCCCATTTTGACTACGTCACCCCTACCCACCACAGCAGCACCAATTGTTGACCTGATCCCATGAACCAACACCACCTCCCCCTCCCCACCTGCGTTTTTCGTGCCCACCAACCCATATAAGTGTATGTACTCCTTCTAGCTGCCTGCCCTCTCTCCCCCATTTTGAGTGCAGCCCAGCAGGTTTTTCCTCCTTTAATAAAGTTTGAATGGCACCCAGCGTTTCGGCTTGTTTTCTTTCACCCAGAGACATGGGAACACAGCTTTCCTCTCAAAACAAGGAATGTCAATCATTCTAGAAAAGGTAAAGGAAGGAGGTCTTTGAACTATTAAGATAAGGCCTTCCTCTTATCTCTGAGGCAAGAATCGACTAATAAGAAAGAAGCCCCTCTTGACGAGTCCTGAAACAGACCTAGTGGTAGCAGTGAGCTGCCCCAGACATATGGAAGTAGGCCAGAAGTGAATGGCAATAGAAGCCTCTATTATTCATTGGCAGTGATAGAATCAGTAGCAGCATAGAGAAGCTGCCAGTTTCTGGTACAACCATACTAAGGAAGCAGCTGTGGTCCTCTCTGGTCTCTACAGGATGCATCTAAGTTTGGTTCAACTAGCAGCAGCAGAAACCACAATTAACGCTTTGAAGCCACTGCTGGAGTTGGGACCTAAGTATAGAGTCATAGAGGAAAAGGCCACAGGGAATGAACCTGAGGACTTGTATGAAATGCTCATGAGGCAGCACAGCAGAAAACTTGCAAATTGCTAGAGGACCCGTGGCCAGCGCCACCTTGGACACAGCTGCATCACCTTGGATGCAACTGACATCATCACAGATGCAATTGGCGCCATATTTAGTACAAAATGGCGACCAGTCTTTTACCCTACCTCGTGGTTTCCTTGAACAAAGAAACCCTCTACCTCGTGGTTTCCCAGACAAAGAAACCCTTCCACTCCGGCCTAGAGGTCTGGAGGTACCTCCCATTTTGACTACGTCACCCCTACCCACCACACCAGCACCAATTGTTGACCTGATCCCATGAACCAACACCACCTCCCCCTCCCCACCTGCGTTTTTCGTGCCCACCAACCCATATAAGCGTATGTACTCCTTCTAGCTGCCTGCCCTCTCTCCCCCATTTTGAGCGCAGCCCAGCAGGTTTTTCCTCCTTTAATAAAGTTTGAATGGCACCCAGCATTTCGGCTTGTTTTCTTTCACCCAGAGACATGGGAACACAGCTTTCCTCTCAAAACAAGGAATGTCAATCATTCTAGAAAAGGTAAAAGAAGGAGGTCTTTGAACTATTAAGATAAGGCCTTCCTCTTATCTCTGAGGCAAGAATCAACTAATAAGAAAGAAGCCCCTCTTGACGAGTCCTGAAACAGATCTAGTGGTAGCAGTGAGCTGCCCCAGACATATGGAAGTAGGCCAGAAGTGAATGGCAATATAAGCCTCTATTATTCATTGGCAGTGATAGAATCAGTAGCAGCATAGAGAAGCTGCCAGTTTCTGGTACAACCATACTAAGGAAGCAGCTGTGGTCCTCTCTGGTCTCTACAGGATGCATCTAAGTTTGGTTCAACTAGCAGCAGCAGAAACCACAATTAACGCTTTGAAGCCACTGCTGGAGTTGGGACCTAAGTATAGGGTCATAGAGGAAAAGGCCACAGGGAATGAACCCGAGGACTTGTATGAAATGCTCATGAGGCAGCACAGCAGAAAACTTGCAAATTGCTAGAGGANGAGGACTTGTATGAAATGCTCATGAGGCAGCACAGCAGAAAACTTGCAAATTGCTAGAGGACAGTCTAACGTGGCTAATTTCTAGTAGGCCAGAGGAAATCTGTGTCATGATAATTTCTGTGTAAGAAGATTAAAGTGCAATTTTATTTTGTAGTCACAGGCAGATGACATCAAGGACCTAAGGGCTATATTTTCACTTTTCATATAAAAATTATCACTGTCATATTTTTGTGCCTATCTTTCTCCCTTACTATACACTGAAAGGCTTCAAAGCAGAAACTACAATCACTGGAAGCTAAATTTTTCCATCTAACTGCTTTGCCATTTGCTAATTTTTAAAGATTTTTCTATTTCCCACAATACCTTGCATAATGAGTCTCCACATAGTAGAACTACAACTATCTGTTCAATGAATAAACTCATCTTTACCTTCTATGTGGAGTGTGTAAAGTGCTGAAAAATATTTTACATAAACGATTACGCTAATGTTACATTTACAATAAGAATACAGCTACCAAAACATATAAAATATGTCCTTAAACAAAACAAAATCAACTTACTAGTAATCATCGCTCCAGTTACAGAAGCCAGAAATCCGATGCTGACTGCAATGACAGAGATTACTCTTCCCTGCCTATGCCTCTGGAGCATCACAAACATCAGGACTCCTGCAGCACCATGGACAAACAGAGAGGAGAAGAGAGCCCAGAGGAAGATCCAATACCACATCTCTGAAAGGTAAAGCAAAGTGTTAGTCATTCTGTTGAAGTACATCTTAGAAAATTCAGTTTAACAAATAGTGAGCTCCCATGGCTGTGGGAAGGTTAAATGAAATATACATATAAAAGTGCCTCGCACAGTACCTGACACAGCATAGTACTAAATAAATCATAAGGATTATCATCATCACTAAAGCTTCATGAAGAAAAAATCCCTTCCATGACTTCAGAAGATGAAGGCTATACTCTAATTTCCTCTAAATGTACCCATTATATAGATATCATCCATCAATCTGTCTAATAAACCCCCAATATATTTGTAAACTTCTTGGAATAAATTATATAAGTTAATTGTTTGCAGTTGGTATATAATTCTCTATTTTCTGCACTAAATAGCAGTATTAACATATTTTTTAAAACCAGCCTCTAATTCAAATAATTACAGAAATCAGTCAATGATTTTACCTTTTATGACTTAAAGAATTTCAGGCAATTCCCTTCGTGGTCCTCAACTTTATATACTAAAGAATGAGTCAGAATTTGTTTTTGTTTTTCTTTTTGTTTTAGTTCTTTTCCTCTGGTCATTCTAATACTCCTTACTGGGAAATTTTCAAGCTCCATTATTCTTCCTTCAGTGTGTCCTCAATCAACTGCTCATTGATGTCTCCATGTATAGACCCTGGACGAGCACACCTTTCGTTCTAACATTCATCCCTTCTCCTTCTGGCTACCCTGCTGCCTCCCAATCACTCCATATAGTTCCCACAGATACTGCTACGTCTTTGCATTGACTCTGACTCCCTGACCATACTCGTGGTGAAGTACAAATAGGGCAGGCAATTGATCCAAGCTCAGCCAATCACTCCCTTCTCCTGAGAATTCTGGATTGGGACCAGCTAAGTCTCATGGGTCTTTGGGTGGCTGAAGCTGAAAGGCTCAGGATTTGCGAAGCCCTTTCATCATCATAAGATGAAAGCCATAATACAGGAAGAAAGAAAAATAGATCCATCAAAGACAAGACACAAACAAGTCCTTCATTCCAGTGATTTTTAATGCCCTGCCACATTACAATCCTTACATTCAATGTAACATCCCAGTTTCCTAGTAATAAAACCCCTCTTTTAATTTTAACTAGTTCAGGTAAGGTTTCTGTCACTTACAGCTGAAAGTGCTATTTAGATGTCACCTTGAGGATCATCCTTTGTATGCAAACATTCTATAATGCAAAGTATCTCATCTACTACTTGTGCTAAGTATTCACTCTCTATCAAGTGTTAAAAAAAAGTCAATAAAATATCCATTAAATAAAGAGAAAAAAAATGGATGAGTTAAAACCTATTTAGCCAAACATCATTAAAGTATAGATATACAGTGTTGGGAATGTAAAATGGTGCAGCCGCTATGGAAAACAGCATGCCAGTTCCTCAAAAACTTAATAATAGAATTACCATATGATTCAGCAATTCCACTTCGAGGTATACACCCAGAAGAACTAAATGCAAATTTCAAACTGTTCGCAGCAGCATTATTCACAATAGCCAAGAGGTGGAAGCAACTCACATGTCCATCAACTAATGAATGGATTAAAAAAACACGGTATATACATACAACAGCAAATTATTCTTTTGTTTGTTTGTTTGTTTTCAAAGATGACCGGTAAGGGGATCTTAACCCTTGACTTGGTGTTGTCAGCACCACGCTCTCTTTAGTGAACTAACTGACCATCCCTATATAGGGATGTGAACCTGTGGCCTTGGTGTTATCAGCACCGCACTCTCCCAAGTGAGCCACGGGCCGGCCCTGGAAATTATTCAGTTTTAAAAGGGAAGAAAATCCTGTCACATGCTACAACATGAATAAACCTTGAGGACATTATGCTAAGTGAAATAAGCCAGTCACAAAGGACAAATACTACATGATTCCACTCATATGAGGTGTCTAAAGTAGTCAAATTCATAGAAACGAAAAGTAGAACGGTGGTTGCCAAGACCCAGGGGAGGGGGAAAAGGGGAGCTGTTTAATGGGTATACAGTTTAGTTTTGCACAATGAAAAAGATCTGGAGAACTGTTGCATAACGATGCGAATACACTTAACACCACCAACTGTACACTTAAAAATGGTAAATTTTATATGTTGTGGTATAAGACATATATTTGGTTTTTGTCCCCAGTTCCTGACAGAGCTCCTAAAACCCTTGGAATTTCCTGAGTGACAGGAGAATCTTTTGTCATTCATAATATGTCCCTTTTGATTATATCCTAATTTATGCTAATGAGGAAGACTTAGGGTGGGGTTCTTACACTGCCTCAGGATGGCGCTGCTCACCAGAAGACCAAGCGATTACAGAGTTGGAACTTTCAACCCCACCCACTCATCTCTAGGAAGGGGAGTTGAGGGGCTCTGTAGACCAGACTCTGTAATAGTTGTGAACTATGAACGATGAACTTCCAGGTTGCTGAACACTGGAGGTGCTCAGAAAGCAGTATGCCGAGGGGGCTTGTAAGCTCTGAGACTCCCCCCAACCATACCTTGCTGTGAGGCTAGGCTAAGGCCTGGAATCCTGCTCAGAGTGCCAATTATGGAGTCACGACTAATGTCTGAAATCCTGTTCATGATGCCAATTGTCTAGCTCCACAACCATGACTACACTGGTTGTGGTGCTCCGGCTAGGCAACCATGCCAATTATCAGGCGCTTTTACCTGCTGGTAATCCTGCACCAACTGGGCCGATCGTTGAGCTAGGGCTGGATCTGGAGCTCCCAGACCCCTCAAGCCCATGCAAAGACTGGGTCACAAACCCTTCATACGCCAGGCTGGGTCACCAGACCCCTCACATGCAGGTCTATGAGCTAAGTAACTGGCCAAAAGGTCCTGGGAGCCATAGGTTGGAAGGCATGGCCGCGCAGGGTGGACACCCTAGGCAGATGCCCACCCACCTGCTTCATTAAAACTCCTCTTTCCCCCTCCCTCTCCCTCTCCCCAGCCCCCCAAGAATACAATAGCAACTAAAGTAAAAAGACACATAGGTGCACATGTGCACTAACTCCACACACACACACAATTTGCTTACAACAGATGTGCTAAAATCACACCCAACCGGACCCGAGGTGAGGGCCTTGACCAAACTACTCTATTTTCCCAACACTTGCCCTGTGCGTCTCTTTCATCTGGCTGTTAAATAAGTAAAGTGATCCCTGGGTCCTGTGAGCCATTCTAACAAATTGAAATGTGATCATGAGAACCCCCTGATCTAGAGCTGGTCGGAAGTATGGGAAGGCCAGACTTTCAGCTGGCATCTGAAGTGGGAGCAGTAGTGTGGAACTGAGCCCTTAACTTTGTGGGATCAGACTCCGTGTAAATAGTGTCAGAATTGAATTAAATAGCATAGGACATCAAGTTGGTGTCCTGGAGATTGCTTGGTGTGGAAAAAAAATCCACACATCTGGTCGCAGAAGTGTTCTCTATGAGAGTAAACAGTGAGTGTATTTTGACAGACAGGTCTTTTTTACCAGAATTTTTTTTAAATGTGTAAAAAATTTTAAAGTATGGATGTAAATTTAATAGTTATTTTAAGTCAAGAACATCAATTACTAAAAACTTGTAAACAAAACAAAAACTCTCTAAAAAAAGGAAGGAGGGTATGGTTATAAAAGAGCAACACCTTTGTGGTGATGGAACTGTTTCATATTTTGACTTGGTGATAGATGCATATGCAATAAAACTGTACAGAAATAAATATACACCAAAGTACAAGTATACAACTAGTACTGGTGAAATATGAATAAGGTTGGTGGGCCATATCAATGTCAGTATCCTAGTTGTGATATTATGCTGTGGTTTTCCAAGATGTTCCCATTGGGTAAACTGAATAAATGGTGCATAAGCTCTCTATGTATTATTTCTTTTTTTTTTTTCCTTTTTGTCTTTTTTCGTGTCCGGCAACAGATCACAACCCTCAGTGTCATGCCCGTACCGGACCAGACCGGCAACAGGATCACAACCCTCAGTGTCGCGCCCGTACTGGACCGGGACCGGCAACAGGATCGCAACCCTCAGTGTTGCACCTGCACCTCGATCAGCCAGTGAGCGGGAACCAGTCTGTATGTGGGATCCGAACCCTCAGCGGGAGCACCGCCGCGCTCCCAAGCAGCGCACTGTAGCAGTGCGCCACTGGGCCGGCCCCTATGTATTATTTCTTACAACTGCATGTGAACCTACAATTATCTCAAAATCAAAAGTTTAATTTTTAAAAAAAGAAGGGGAATATATACAAAGATTTTTTTAAAAAATGATCTTCATCCTGCCAAATTCTTAAAAATTGGTACATAGAATGGACTCAGATCATTTGAAATCATTTCGAGGAAGAGACAAATCACCTCAAGGAAGAAACATCTGATATACTTTACAATGTGTGTTAAAGCTTCTAAATGGCTTAAGAGACAGATGCTGGCGATTAAGGAAAAATAGGCAAGGCTTGTCTTTTAGAGGTTTTTCTCTTTCAGCTTTCAGGGAAATAGTGCTTTCATACTGTCTCTCCAAAACAAATGGCTTCAATTTATAATAAATGCATTAAAGATAGAAAATCTTAACTTGCTCAGGAGATATCTGAATATGAAAAGATATAATTTTCCAAAGTGAACCTAACCAACTGAGAATATAACAGAGTAACAATATTGGCGGGGGTGGGAGGGTATTTTCATCCAAGGAGCTCTTTTCACAATTTACTCTGAGACAAGAAAAGCTATGCAACACAGCCACATACTCTTCAATAAGCCAACTCAACGATTTGCCTTGTATCCTAAGCCTGTTGGAGTGAGCAGGACTAAAGTCATGTCGGGACCTAAAACCACCTAGACTGTACAAAAATTTTTAAAAAACAGTTTTTTATTTTAGCATGCTCTTCTCTGAGGTCCCTCTTTTCCCATGGTTATTTGATATTTTGAATCCTGGTTATGGGGCAGGATGACATTTACATAAATGTAAATCTCTCTTCCAGATAGCCTGGAGCTGCAAACTTCCCTTAAGGCACTACTATCCAG